CAAAACAAAGCAAACGAAGCAACACTACCACCCCCAAACACACGCAGACACACACAGAAAGAAAGGAAATTAGTCCAAACCGGCACCTCCGTGTCTGACACGTTTTCCCTCTTTTCTGGCTCTCCGCTAGGTGACAGCAGCGAAACCGGAGTGAAGCATCCCGTAATGGACTTCTGGAGAAAACGATTTTATCCTTTTTGCTAAACCCTCAGAGAGTAATGCAGTCAAGAAACTCGTACTATTGGCTATTTTCCTGGAAATTACAGAGCCCTTTGCTTTTAGGCTTCCCGCCTGCAGGCCTCAATAATTTACAAAAGTACGTCTCTGCATTGTATGCATTTAAAGCAAATGTACTTGGGCTGGAAAAAAGTCAAGTATTGTTGGTTTAATGCAAGTAGTTACTTCATAATGTCAGCGATTAGTCTTGTAAAATAATCCCAAGTTCTTACTTTCATAATCCGTATGGACCCGATCTTTCAGGCGGGAACCCCCAACTGCACTGAAACTGCAGCAAGGCAGGAGATTAAGTTCCCGTGTATATTTACACCAATGTCCAATTTTGTAACAGGAATACTAATTTTATGCACGTGCATTTAAATGCTGCTACTCTTTTGCTGTTGGCTGCTCACCAGGCTGAAGCAGTAAGGTTTTTTTACCATGAACCTTCAAACCAGTTATGGCACAAGCTAGACTAGTGTCCAAGCAGTTACAGCACAAACAAGAATCCAACGTGGAGCAGATGAGAAGGAAGGAATTGAATGCACTTGTCTGAAGACAAATCCGTCTTGACGTGAGTTAAAGCACTGTAAACCTGCTGTAAGGAGGGCACGTTCTAGAATTCAGAGGGGACAGTATAAACCCTCTATCTTGGTCCTATTCCTGACCTACTCCAGAGTGGGGTTTTTTGTGGGACAAGAAGTAGAACTGGTATAACCCCAATATTCCAGCTTCTGGGCATCTGTGAGATTCTCTTGTGTGAGTAAGGGAGATCCCTTCATAGCTTCTTAGATACCAAATACAGAGGTATAAAGGGTTTGCAGCACCCAGAGTATTTTTCAGAAAGAAAATAATTATTTGAAGTACTTCTCTCTCTGTTCACTCACTTTTTATTTTGCCATTTTATCTAATGTTTTCATTATCCTGAATTACTCTGAGGTGTATGAACTTAATTGTTTGTGTGCCCTTAACATTTATCTTTGTTCCTTTTATTTACAAACATCCTTTTTCACAGCCTGGCTCTATAATGTCTATTGAGTATTGAAAATGTTCTATTGAATATTTTTTAAATGTATTTTAATTCAAGTTTATAGTCTAGTACTTCACAAATGTTGTTCCAGTTTTTGACAGTCAGCCATGTTCAGATGTTCCATGTTTCAGGATCAATTCCTTATGCTGCACAGGAATTTTTTAAAGTAATGTTGTCAAACAAATTGTATTTGTGACCAAAAAAAAAAAAAAAAAAAAAGGATAAAATAGAATTCAAATAAAACAAGGGAGGGGAATACTTCATTAAAAATATTTATTGGAAAAAAATTCCCATCAACACCATTTGGCTATACTAAGTAAGTAAAACACAGAGTGTGACTATGGTAATTAGGATGCAAACAGCTAGTACCATGAGCAGGATGATTCGGCAATATTTGGAATGCTTTTTTTCTCTCTCTTTCTTTTTTAACAAGGTATCATACCCAGGAGTATAAATATCCCCCATCCAGAACTGTAGGTCATTAGGATTTTCCTAGAAGAAAAATCAGAAAATAAACTCAGTTTGTCTCTGTTGCACATAAAGTCATTAGAACATACCCAGAAGAATTTTGGCTATCATCAGATACTGATTAATGAATTTAAGACATCACAGCGCATATGTAAGACACTTTCACTTGAACGTAGGTTGTGCTACTTGCCAGATGCTGCAAATGTTCCACTGGGGAAAATTAAAACCACACTTTTCATCCAGGAACCAAATGTAGGACACCAGCTATTGAAATGTGATCAAAAAACCTAGAACAAACCATGCTGCCTTCTCAGGAAGAGATGTCATTGTAATAAACACAGATCTGACTCTCTTTCCCAAAAGTGGAAAAGCAGGAAAAAAAGCTTACAAAAGTAATCCTAAAAGTGGGTTGTGCCTACCCACAGGCAGGAAGGATCCTGCACAGTATGGATGAGGCTCAGAAAGTGTATGTAATTTGATAACAGAATTTTGCTATGAACAGTTATTAAAGTGGCTATATAGTATTTAAGAGCCACATTTATAGGTCTTCCCTATGTAAATAGGGAAGCTGAGTTGCATAGTGTTGTGGTTTAAGACTTTCTTTAAGTCAGGGATCATGTTCTGCAGCGTTGAAATTCCTGGAGTCTCACCAGATGCGCAGACTTCCTTTCCTGATCAGACTCATGTTAGTGTCATGTCTGTACCAGAGAAATACCTCCATATTTACCTCTGGAGCTCCACCAAAAGGACCGAGAGGGCTGAACAGGCCTCATGAACATGGTTCATGCATGCACAACACAGCCCACAGCAGTTCAGTTTGCCCCAGCTCAGCTCAGCTCAGCAGTGCATTACCTTTATGTGGCTGGCCAGGTTAGAGTGCAGCGAGTGTCTGTCATAGTCCTGCACGGTCCAGGAAGGGTTTTTTTTCTTCTCCTCCCAGTCGTCATCCACCTGGATGTCACTATACAACGGGTTTCTTTTGATTGTGGATTTCAGGGTGATGGGTGTAATGTGTTTCCCCAGGGCTTTGTCTATCATTTCTTGACTGACCCTGTTCAAGTCTAAGCCTGGCAGCTCAGTGACAGTTCTTTTTTCTCTCTGTAAGGCACAAGGTAGATCAGAAGCTGGCTTTCATCTTCATTTACCTACAATGCAGGCACCCTTCCAGAATTATCATTCATAATACAGCAGAGTCATTTTTAAAATTACACATGCAACAATTTTTTCTCATTCTGGTAAACATCTATAGTGCAGTAAAGGAGCCCAACTGTTCACTTTGTGTAGATTTTTTCCTTCTGGGGCACGCAGGTGGGTACAACATTAAGTTCTTTTGCAAATATGGACTGACATAATGCCTGCTGAAAGAAAGCCTCTGCTTTAGCGAAACAATGCTGTGGAGCAATACAGTAGAACATGCAGTTCTGATGAAAGCCACGGGTGTGTGATGCAGAAACAGAGCTGTAAGGACAAAGCAGAATGAAACACGGGGGTAGCAGTGTATAAATGGCAGCCTGGACTGGAATTGCACCTCTGGCAGCAGGGCATGATTCACAGCTGTTGAATGATAGACCTGTGCCAGGATGTCAAAGAGGTTCTTCATTCAACTGAGGGAAAGTCCTTATTTTGGGCAATGTTAGGACTCCTAGGTAATTAAATACCTGAGCAGCCTCCCAGCCACAAAAGGTGTTAAATCAGACCTTTTAGAACATGTGGGTGACAAGGGAGCGGGATGAACAACCCTGGTGGGATTGCACTGTTTTGAGAACTCTCAAGCTGCTTCTTAAAACAGCATTAATAGCCTTTTTAGGGGTCCGTAGGATGGTAGCTACCATATTTTTCAATCTGTAATTGCATGGAGGAATGCAATCAGGCGCTCCAACTCAAACTGTTCAACATTTTGGTTCACCACAGCCTTCTGCCTAAGAAACTTTGGATTTACCTGTCACTGACCTGTGATTCCATCATGCGACAACTTCCTGAGAGACCTGCTCCTGGCAGAGCCCTTGCCCTCCACTGACTCCCCTCCCATTTCTCAGGGTTGCTTCTACAGAACCACCACAGTGCAAATTCATCCTTCCTCATTAGAAACACTGCTTCCCCATTAGCACCTTTGTCCTTACAAACCTCATGCTGAGACAAGGGGGTCCTTGGCCTGTCCCAGTGTCCCTGAGTCAGGTGTGCTGGGCAGGGGGCACTTCCCAGCCCTCTCCCACCCTCAGAAATCACAAAGATCTGGGCAGCACCTGCTACAAGACTCACGTAATTTAAGTGCACATAATAAACAACCAAGCTGGGTCCTGAGAAACTTACTTCCGTGCAAGGATGTCTTTCCCAGAGTATTTCACTTCTATGGAGATCTCCAGCTGTGAAAGTACCACAGGCTGGACTTCAGCTGCAAAAGGGCTAGGGGCATGTCCTGCTTCTCCTTCCACCTTTCCAGTGGGAGCCCAGGGAATCTGACCACCTGCACACTGGCTCTGGAAGCTGCTCAGGTCCCACATCAGTCAGTGCAGGTCCCTAAGGTGATAGCAAACTGCTGGCTTCTTCTGCTTGAGTAATTTTCTGCCCCTTTTTTGTGCTGGTGAATCCACTTTCAGTGGAAGTCAGCCACTGCATGTCATCACCTACTTAATGACTGCAAGATCTGTTCATCCACAGACACATCTGGGGTGTCTGGGGCAGGCAGGTGTAGAAGGATCCATGAGGACTGGCTTCCTTCAGAAAGTGAAGGTGGAGAAAAGAAAAGAGCAGACTTTTTCAAAGAAACCCTAGGAGGAAGCATCACGCTGGCATTCGTATCACTAAATCCTGCAGAAGCGACTAAGCATGCTTCCCATCAACAATTGCCATTAGTAGGTGGGTGGATCCTCAGTGACCTCCTGTCCCTCTGTTAGTTCATAATTTCCACATGTTGTTCCTTAGCCTTCACATCTCCCTTGACAATACTGCTCTTTGCACTGCAGTTACAGCTGGCACCGAAGCCCTCTGGGCTGTACTGGCCAGATTTCAGCTGAGCTGGTGTTTTTTAACTGCCTTTTCTTTCTGACTGCATTTTATTTTATTTATTTTATTTCTTGTTTAAAATTTGTCATTGACCTTAATGATTCTTCCCTCAGGCTTGCTAGATAGTTGAACTTGGAGAACATTTTGTTGAAGAACGCGAACTGTGTCACCAGGGGATGTTTGGTCTCCATAGGCTAAAATGTTGTGAAAAGAATGTGACTTGACAGTAATTTCTAAAGCTGTTTTAAATTAAATTCTCTTCCAAACTTGGAAGAGATGGCATGATGCAAATTTTTTTCACAAAGAGAGGGCTTTGTGGCAAAACTTTTTGCTCCTTCTGTCTGGAGTACCTTTCTTTTCATAGTATGAGAATGGAAGAATGTGGTAGCTTGGAGCAGAGGTAGAGAGGGAATAGACTGGGATGGGCAACAGGGTTTTACTGTGAGAAATGGACTGGAATTTAGGATAGGATATAGTTTGCAGAGGTTTTAGAGAACAGACATTGAAATGACAGGCTAATCAGGAGAATATACTAAAGTACAAGTAATGCTTGGTTGTAAAACCATGTCTTAGAGACTGGTAAGGGAAAAGAAAGGACAGGAGCCTGAAGGACATAGAAAATGTTTTAGGTCTAAGAAATCATACAGAGAATTATAAAGAAGATTGCAGTAAACATTAGCATGTATAGAAGCAGATAAACATAAGATTAGATAATAAAAACATGCTTGCAAAAAGTCTTTTTTTTCTTCTAAGATGTAAATCATGTCCCAACCACTGTCACAGACTTCTGTGTTTTGATTCTGATTCATGAAGCAAATGTTCAAAGAAATACAAAAATACTGTAAATTTAGGTATTTGTTACAAAATTTGTACAATATATACTGACTCTAAGCAGTCAGTATGAATTAGGGTGGAATAGAACAAATCAGAGGCAATTTATGTTATTATTTACTGAATGGAAGGATGGAACAGCAAATATTCAAGCACTAACTAGGAAGAACACTGAGAGACTATAGATGAAATGTGTTGACAAAATAGTCATTTAACAAGATGAAAAACGCTCAACTCTGCAAACACATAACTGTGTTTGATCTACATATAGCTCATGAGCAAGAAAGCTATTATGGTTTATAACTCATGTTTCACTGAGAACAGTTTGTCCCTCTTTGACAGACTCAGAGAGCTGGCATGTACAAAATTAGGATTCTGTAAAAAGCCCAAAGATCAATAGAGAGTCAATGTTAGTTCCATTACTGAATCGACATGTGCTTGCTCCACAGTTTTTTTCTTGCTGATTATTTCATGATGTGAATTGAGCATATAGATTCATTACAGTACATATAATTAAAATTATAATTTAATCTTTGTTGCTAGAAAATATTTTAATCTCATTTTTGTCTTGACTTTATCCTTTCATTCCCTCTGCTGTTGCTGTTAGCACTGAAGCAACCTAAGAACCTCACCACTCTTTCCTCAGCCTTTGATATGAGACATCACCCACCAAAACCAGGACATCAACAGTTAAGGCTAGGCCTTGTTTTCAAGCCTGTCTTACCTGAAAGAAGAGAACAAAGAAACACTTAAAAAATTAAGGAAATTTACTGGAAGTCAAATTTTTCTTTCCTCGCCCCTCAAAGAGATTCAGTTCCTCTTGTCTGGTGGCCAGCCCTGGTCTCCAGCTGGTATTGTGAAAGATGCTCAATGACAGAGAGAAATGCCATTGATGGGCAGCTATACCTAGAAGTTTCGACCAAGAGAGGCTAAAGAAACTTATGGCCACTACATATTCCAGGATTTGTTTTGTAACAGCCTCCTCAATCCTAGTGAAGGTGGGTAGCAAGGGTGATTATTATATTTGATAGTAATTTGTTAAATGCTATAACCCTCTGTTGTGCAAAAGCCTGGTAACACATCCTGGAGGACTCTCCCAGCACTTGGAAGGGCATTTTTCTGATTTAAGCACCTGCATGAAGGCAGAAAAAGGTCTGAAAGACAAAAAGTTGTTAGAGTGTAACCAAGAATCCCTTGGATAGCTGTAACAACTGCATGGGCATTGCTAGAAATTTGGACAATACAGAAAGCTTATCCATTATGTGTAATAATTATTAGTAGTTTAGAATATTTTCAGCCAATTTGATCTCATAAAGGATGGAATGGAAAAGCAATTAGGTAGGCAAGGGGTAACCAGGTGTAGGTAAGGAGATAAGAAAGACAATAGGGCAGACAGCTCACAAAAGGATTCCTGAGAATGAAGAGTGGGTCCAGAGGAGGGCCATGAAGATAATCAGAGGGCTGGAGTATCTCTCCTATTCAGGCAGGTTGAGAGAGCTTGGGTTGTTCAGCATGGAGAAGAGAAGGCTATAGGAAGGTCATGTTGCTGCCTCCCAGTACCTACAGGGGCTGACAAGAAAGTTGGAGAGAGACTTTTTACAATGATAGGACAAGGGGAAATGGCTTTATGCTGAAAGAGAGCAGGTTTAGGCTAGATATTAGGAAGAAATTCTTCCCTTTGAGGATAACGTGACACTGGCACAGCTTGCCCAGAGAAGCTGTGGATGCCCCATCCCTGGAAGTGTTCAAGGCCAAAGTGGATGGGGCCTTGAAGCCACCTGTTTGAGTGCAAGATGTCCCTGCCCATGGCAGGGGGGTTGGAACTAGATGATCTTTAAGGTCCCTTCCAACTCAAACCGTTCTATATTTCTATGATTCTAGGAATGAAAGTTTTCCTGTAGAAGGAAATGAAGGGATCTGGATTGTTTGCCGGAGATATTAAGGCAGCCTCATGTACTACAAAACAACCTGGGAAGTCACCAGATACAAACAGGAGAGAGATCAGCAGGTGGTTGTAACCACTTAACCTAGTGTGGCAGGGGTATTCAGAGAAAAGCAGGCATTCACATGGACTATTTTAACTGTGCACCATCGGGACTACTTGCATCCTTATTCCCTTAAAAAGGTGTTTTATCTGTCACTGGTAATGGAGTTCTGCAGAGTTGTGAGTACATCACATAAAAACTTTTGTACAGTCTCTCAGACCAAAGCTCCTGCCAACCTTTCAGCTGGCTCTCATAGCGGCCAGTTGCAGATGTCTAGGGAAGAACATGGGAGAGAGTGAAAATACGTAATGAACCTGTGAGCCAGGAGACAAAGAAGTGACACTAACCTGGTACCTAACTTGTAGATTAAAAAAAAAAAAAAATCTCTTGTGCTGGTACAGTGAGATACAAGCAAAGGCAGGACACAGGTATTAAGTGAGATGTAATACCTGCAGGCCAAAAGAGCACCATGCCAAGAAGTAGCATGCTGCTCAAAGACTTAAGTGCTCTGTGCTGTTTTCCAAAAACAGGGAAAAGAGGGAAATATGGGCAAGAAAGAGAAGTTTGAAAATGGCAGAAAATCGCCAGGTTGGCTGTAGGGTACACATGCAACCTGGCTATCAGAAACAGATATAGGGGATTATCTGGTGGACACTGTGCATTAAAACATACTGTGGGGCAGAGAGTCAACTGGAAATTTTCAGGGTGTTCAGAATGTGGTCAGCAGCTATCCATTTGCAAGAGAAAGTCTGTGCTTTTTATGCTGCTTTTCACAAGGAAGGGCCAAGATTCCTGGATTTCTTCATGGTTTGGTTTAGTCAAGGTAGACAAGGAAAATACATACTAAGCAGGGAAGCTGTTTAGTTCTCCTGAAACGAAAGAGGAAAGTGCAAAGAAAAAGCAGCAGTTTTTTATCTTTACATCAAGCTACTTTTTGTAATGGAAACAAATTTCAAAACTTATAGGTAGAGAAAACACATAGGCATTAAGTGCATTTGAATTTAAGAGATCTCATAATAAAGGTCTGGAAGAGGACAAATACATCACTGAGAAGTCACTTTGCACAGAGAGTCCTGAGTGGCATTAGTTTCTTAAAAGAAAACTAACTTTTGAAGGGAGAATTTGGGCTACTCTGAAGGTTTAATGACTTTGGGAATCTTTAGATCATGCACATATGTTCCGAAATTAATTCTCCCTCCTCCACCCCCCTCCCCTTTTTCCGTTTCTAAATTAACTAACCCTTAACCTCATTGCTCTCTCATCTTAAAGCAAAACATGTTATTCCTGTGCCATTAGTTCTCCACTGTGCCATCGTGTTTATTCTAGGGTCTGGAACTCATCAGTAATTTTCCCTTTATTTGACTGTCAGCAAAAGGGGGGAAAAGAGGCGAGCCCTTAAGGCAGAAAAAATAATGCACAATGATTTCTGCCTGAGCACCTTGAATTCACTACTGACTACACTTAAAAAAAAATATAGGTTGTGTCCTTGGTTTAACATTTACAGAACATACCACATTGCAAACTCCGTTTCTGGAGACATGGTGAGTACAGACATTTCCTTTGAAACAGCCATCCCGGGGCTGGGAACAGAGTTCCAGGAAAACCTTCTCGCTGGTGGCAAAGAGCAGAGCACAAGTCAAAAAGCACAGGGCTCCCCACACATTTTTAATCCTCCCGCAGCTCTGCAGCCCTTGGCTCGGTGACAGTGCGTTCTGTTTGACAACAATGGGAAGAAGGATCCCTGCTGCGGAGGAGGCTCTGTGTGTGGCTGCCTCTATCCTGCACAAAAGAGGGGCTTAGGGGGGAAGGGGGGGCGAGGAGGGGGGGGGGGGGGGGGGGGGGGGGGGGGGGGGGGAGTGTGGCCAGCATTGCACCATACCCTATTGTTTGGGATCCTTCAGGCTCCGTCCCTCGGTTAGGGCTGTTTGCATGGGAGACCATAGGAGACCGTGTGTTCCCCCGCCCCAGCTCTCCCTGGGGAGTCGCCAACAAAGATTATACAACACGAGCAGAGATGGCTGGAGGCACTGGAGCAGGCAGAGGGAAGGGTGTCTGGGGTGGGGAAGAAGCTAGGGAAAGTAAAGCGGGTGGCAGGAGCGGGAGGACTTTTGCAAGTGGAGGAGGACTGGAACGGACTCCGAGAGGGAGCAAAGGAGTCTGCGGAGCTGATGGGGAGAACTGTCTAAGAGGGGAGAAGTGCAACAGGAAGTAGCTGTGGGAGACTTTAAGCCTCTTTCTCATTCCTTCCCCCAGGTTCACGTTTTTTTGGCTCCTACTCCTCATTCCCCTGGGGAATTGGACCGCCACCCAAAGCATCCTCGGGATGCAGACTCTTCTCCATCCCGCCTCCCCCCCCACCCCCAACCACTTATGTATGTCTCCATCTCTTGACAAGAAACAGACCTTGGAGCTTTTGCTCATGCTAGGGGTGGGGAAAGGCGAGGGGCTCCCCGAGCAGCAGGAAAGGAGCACTGTGGAGCAGCGAGTGGGGCCCAGAGGGGTGTGAGCTGATGCAGCTGTACTGCTGCTGATCCAGACATGAACTTCTCCTCTGCCAGCTCCAGGGCCTCTGCTAGGCAATGCACATTTACATTTTTACCAAGAAATTGCTACTACCTCTATATAATAACCTAGATTAATGCAGTCAGTGTGTTTCACACTTCCAACAGCTGTCTTTCAGTATAGGGGGAAGGTCAAAGTACAATGAGGAAAACAAGACAAAATAAAAAGGAAGCTGTGGTGAACTTATATAACTTTGGAGCAAGAATCTCTAATGTTCTTTCTAATGTGTCTTTTTATGGAGTTTGAGGGATAGGAATATGACCTGACTTTCAATTTTAAGTCTGGTTTTTTTTTCTTGCTTCTCCAGAGAGCACATTCCATGCACCCTTTTAGTATAATTAATTGGTATTTGACTTCAGTAGACATTTAGGGAAATGCTATGAAAATGTTACAGAAAGAGCAGTAGAAAGCCTAATATACTGAAATGAAGTCAGCGGATCTCCCCTGAAGAGAGTTAAACTTCTCATGGAGTCTGATCCTCACCGAAGTCAGTGGGAAAACTTACAGGGAAATTAGTGACGCAGATTAAGAGATGCAGGAAGCTGAAACCACACCTGATGTCTCAACCTCACAACACTTGTGTCCTGATCCTTAAAACAAAGTAGAAAAATCAGGAAAAACAGCAGCCTCTTATAGACCTTACCTGTAAATATACTCTGTTGTGCCACCGCTGCACTCCAGGTAAAGCTGCATCTGGGAATTTTGCCCAGCCGGCTTGCAGACAGGTGGGGCTTTTCTCTAAAGACTTCACCTCCAGTTGCAGGAATTTATCGGGATGGTTGTTGTTTGGCAAAACGGAGAGGTCCATGTTTCTGTGCTGTAGAGTAACAGCGAAAACAGCCTCACCCCAGCTTCTGCTTCCTGGCTGTGCATGCTCTTTCTATTATTAATGATGTGAAGAAGGATAGGACAGTTTCCTGAAACTGTATCTGACCCCTGTTTGGTGTCAGGCTCACTTATATCATCTACCAATGATAAAAGATTGTTTAGAAGTGGCAGAGCAGACAGGACAAGTTTCTGTAAGTGCCCAGCTTAAGTTTTCAGGTTCAGGGTCTATTTTGATAGATACATATGTGCTCATTAAAACTAACAGAGTACCAGTGAGGAGATGCATAAGACACTTAAATGCATACCAGCACTTCCTCAAGTGATCTGCCAAAAATGCCAAGCCTACAATACTTCAAAGTAACCTTTTTTTTTCCCCCTAGAAAATTAGAAGCAGTTCCCAGTCCAAAGCAAGTCTTCCTTTTCTGTGGCAGTACCAAGAGGCTCCTTTGTGCTGTGTGGGTTGGTACCATTTACCACGACAGCTATAACGTGAACTTTTTTTAAGTTCAGGGATTTCTTTCACAGTAAATTCTTCTTGACCCTGGGAAATATTAGATTGTTTCAAGTAATTGACAACAGAAGTTTTCAGGGAATTGATTCTGCCTCCGTTCAAGTGAGAGGGGGAAAAAAAAGACTGTTTAAATGACTTAAATGGTGTAGTCTCAGCCCCTTCACTTCTATTATTTTATTCTGAGACTTGATATTTTCATCATAATTTTAGGATTTTTAAGTCCTTTTGACCTTCAGCTAAAAAAATGCCCCCTCTCATTGTGGCTACTACATACAACTAGCAAAAGTAGCCTTCTCTTTTTATTTTAACTTTTTCTTTAGACCTTTATGTTTCCCTAGGATATGTTTCATTTTTGATGACCCTGCTGCAGAGGATAAGCTTTTGAAAGTTCATTGCTTGAAATCCAGGAAAACCTGTTTTAGATCAAACTTGTGCTGAGAATTAGGGCATCGCAAAGCTTTTAGCCTTGTACTTAGATCAGAGAACCAAACCAATCTATTTTCTGCACAGAAAATTGTTGGGAGTATAAAAAGAAAACAAAACCAGGAAAATACATATTTTTTTTTTAAATCCTGATGTAATAAATGAATACTTTGATATATATCTATAAAAAGTAAAATCCATATCTACTTTGAAAACTTGTGATTTTTCCTTGCACGTATATTGTAGATTATCCATTTAAAGTTATTATTCTGCCACCTTTCAAGTAGATGCTCCAGTAAGTACCTGTGAGCAGCCAGCAAAGAGACAGCAGTGACTGTGTTTCTGAGTGGACATGCATGCTTCTGGGGAACCTGCTGCTACATTTACATCTATGACTCCCCAGGGCAATGAACCCCGAAACACCAACACACCTTTCCAGTGCACTCTGGGGATTACCATGAAGCTGCTGTTTTAGACTTGCCATGAGATGTGGTTCTCACTTTTTTTCCCGCGCAGACAGGAACGATTTGTGTTCTAAAATAGGTGGGTATATAAAACCATTAATTCTCTCTTCAGCGGGGATAGACTTTCCAGCATCTCTCTAAACACAAGATTTTTCTGTGCTAATGTAGGACGTAACGTGGGTGTGCAACTGTGTGAATTTACATACTAACACTACTTTATTTCATTAGACGTGACATAAGAAGGTAAAACCCACCTTATTAGGTCAGACCCCTCCTCCACAGGATCTATCACAGTGTTTGAAAGGGAAAGAAAGGATGATGTTTAGGGAGACAGTGTACACCTGGCAACTTTCTGCAGTTCATTCTTCTTTTACTCCCTCAGAAGCCACACGATTTTTTTTTGTGCTAAAGTGTCTCTTTTCAGGCCTTTTATTATCTCTTTATAAACTTGTGGTCCATAAATTGCTTTGTAAGCCTTCTGATACTAACTCCTCTAGAAACAGACTTCAGAACCTCATGACCATCTGCTTAAAGTGCTTATTTTTACGTCTTTTAAACTAATTTCCATACTAGTCATATTGAGGATGCACTCTTTGCAGTAGTACTGCAGGATTTGAAGAAGAGCTCCCCATGCAGATTATCCATCACCTTCAGGATTTTTTAAACCTCAACTGTGTTTATCTTAGTCTCTTCCTTTCCAGTTTCAGTCTCATCTGGTAAGCCACCTAGTTTATTCCTTTGCTTATTCCATTTTCAACGTGTTACGCTGTAATTCCACTACATTGTTCATGAGAACACAGCAGCCATAAATGAATGCAATGCTCAAGTCGTTCCAAAACAGCCCCAAAACTGGGAAAAATTATGTCTTCTTACAACATGCAACAGTTTTTGGTGCTTTTTTCCCCTGCTATTCTCACAGAGCTAGTAACTTCACGCCATAGTAACAAATTATAGCAGGATTTTTCTCCACCTCTATGACTGCCAGTTGCAAGTTCAGCGTATTGTAGGAATAGTTTAGGCTATTTTCCATAGCTAACAACCCTAACAACCCAAAACCTAAGCCACTTCCTCCAGAACAAAGCAGCAATTTCCCTTCAGAGTAAATGGCAATGTGATTAAAATTCATATATTTCTTGAAGAAAGTTATGAGAAGTGGTAGGTATCGTAACTTTTGGTCACTGCTATAGCTGGCCAGCACATATGTGGGAAGAAGGAAGGCCACTGTGTACCAGCCTAGCACAAACCCTGTGTACCATTTAAATCCCACTTAATCCAACAAAACAGGGTCTAAGTGGGATTTGATTAGTGGAGAAGCCTACTATAGCCCTTATGAGGTAGAGTGAGTTTCACCTTTATATGTTAGCTGAACCTGACTGATTTGAAATTCATTAGTTGAAATTTTACATATTCGTCAGGTTGGAAGGAAAACATATCAATGCAGAGGGGTTGTTGCCGAAGAAGGAAGAACAAATCCAAAAAAGCAGTAGACTCTGGAATGTCCATGCCCCCATAAGGCTTTGGCTTCTCTGAACACAGCTGGAAAGGGCTGCCTACTGCCACTCAAGCCTGTGGAAGGGCTCTGTTGGGCTGGCTGATGCATGCCCTCCCCACAGCGTGGTGGGGCTCAGGTCACAGGCTGGGCACATTCTCAGAAGATTCTCATAATTTTCTGGCAAAAGAGGCGTTTTGGTCTGTGCTGCTCCTCTGAATGATGATAGAATGTACTGAAGAGGAAAATGAACTTGATTTCAAATTCATACAGAAAAGGAATATATATTTGCTATATATACACAAAATTGCTTCAAAATGATTCACATATATTTAATTATTAGTTTTGTACTACAGTTGCCAAAGGAATCAGAAACAGAACTATCAGCATTGTAACATCCTGATTTCAGTGATTACATTTAAAAAGAATGTCATTTGACTCTGCAACTTTAAATCCCTGAGTCCCAACCAAAAGTATTTTCTTTTTATCATGTTGCTGTAAAGTGATCAGTTCAGCACAAGTCACTCATCTGTTTTTGACCGATATAGGGAAAGCTAAAATGTACTTTTTAATTGTTGTGACTAAGCCAACAATTCCTGTTGGTGGAATATTGAAAATCAGCAGACCATAAACATTCAGAATAGTGTGGATGATATCAGTGGCTGGTAAAAAAATTGTCCTCTTGTGCCTAGCCTGGACACATCTTTTCTTCAGCTTGATTCTTAGTTGTGATTCAAGTGAGTGCAGAAGTATTAGCAAGATTGGGTGCTAAATATGAAGAAATTTTAAAATAAGGATTTTCTTTTGCCTGCCAACTACCATAATTCTATTAGACTTTAGGAGCGATGCCCAAGAGCAACTGTATTTTCTGTGCATTGAAACTTTTTAATTATACAAAATACAGTATCACATTCCATGATGTCAGTGTTATTTTCCTTTCCTTCTTTACTTTCTAAAACCAGAAGATGTTTTATTTAAAATCATACATTAGCACCTCATTAAAGTCGCAGTTTCTGAAGGCACAGCAGCAAGATGCCAAACCAAAGATTTTGATAGCACAGCTATTTGAAAGCACATATGTTGACTTCAACAGGAGTTAAGACTGCACTAAAATATTCTGCCTCGATAGACTCACAGTCCTGACTGGGGTCTCAGTTTGTTAAGTCGGGTGGATATCTGCGTCACATCTATACAGCAGGATCTTCCTAGATAATTAGAAGTAACAATCATTCAAGTAAAGACGCATTTCATTTTAGCTTTCAGTAGAAAAGATGATGCCTTTCTGGCTTATTTCTCCAGCTGTCTTGCCTTCAGCTTTTGCTCTCCTACATGTTTTCACAGCAGAACTAAAGGGTTGCATCACAAAATGGAGGCAGAAGACGTACCTACCAAGTTCAGTGGTTACAGAACTCACCTGAGATAAATAACTGCCTCTCCACTGAACGTCACTCTGTTATAAACAACCTTCCACATATCAAGGCTCACAGAGAGGCATGTCTGTCTGCAACTACAGAGTGATGCCTAAGTCAAGAGGCAGGAGACACTTGTACTGGAGCTGTACCTGGACTGGAGCAGTGCAGGGCTCGATGGATTCATCTACCAGATACGGGTACCCAAGAGAGGAAAAATTCAAATAACAAAAGGAGCTTTACTTTTTATTGAAAATCTAAAAATCATGTGAATCATGTACAATATTTTCTCATAAGGAAAATCTTAGCTGTTTCATAATGTTTCACAAAACTGTAAAACATTTAACTTTTATAAAGACTTTTTCAATAAACAAAGATAAAACTAAAGTAGTATTACAAAGCTATTTTCTAAATCATCAACAGAGAACTGAGAATGTTTAACAGATTAATTCATACAAGTGGCAGGAGAAAGGATTCTCCCATTTGTAAATCTGCAAGAGGACACACAAAGGTATAGAGGGGCATGGGTTGTATTTTTTTTTCAAAATGTTTAAAATCAAGTGATGTATTAAAATAGTACAGACATGTATTCATAGGATGGTACAAGTTCTAGGACTGCATTTCTCTACACTACCTCAAACAGTGCAACAGTGATTCAGTGTAAATCTCTACAGTGTTTCATTGATTCAATACTTGTGTTCAAGTATGTGTCCATGAGAATGATCAAAATCTCTACTTAAGCTATCTTAATTTTTTTGTTTATAATACGTTATAAGTTACAGTAGAATATCCCCTTCAGTAAGTTTCTAAATCAAATGAACTAATTTCACAATACATTCTGTAATAAACTGTTCAATAATGTTAGCTTACTCATCTCAACATCTGTTGCAAAATACGCAAGATCATTCTGACTCTGAATGCCAAAAATATAATAAAATTAAAGGGCTTTATTTCCATATACAACAAAACTATTCAGCTAAATTAAAATAAATTCAAGATAACATGACTTTTTTTTTTCTTTTTGCAACAGAGATGACCCTACTGAAAATAAACATTTAAAATACTAGTTACTAATTTTTTTTTAAATTCTGATAATGCATTCAAAAGTGTTCTTATAAAAATTAATTACAAAAATGTCGGAGGATAAAACATGTTGGCCATCTAACCAAAACCATTAAGGATGTCTGGCAGGCAAAAATAAATTAATTTGATTAAATTATATGTCATCTGATAATATTTGGTCTGAAAAAGCGTGTGTGTGTGTGTGTGTGTGTGTGTTTATAAATAATAATATTGCAAAGAGCTGAGAGCCAGCCAGCCTGACAGAGGTCAACTCTTTTGTTGCATTTTTTGCGCGTAAAAGTCCCTGCACGTCTCACAGCATCGCTGATACCACCTCATGTCTTGACAGAGGTTCTTCTCTCTTATCACTCTGCAGTACACAGGCCACTGGTCTCCCAGGCACTTGAATGTTAAAGCAGCTGTGAAACAACAACCAGAAAATCAAATATACATTGCTGTTGCATTTACTAGTGAAGAATCAGGTAGCAAAGGAGACAGGGGCACACGAAGTGTATCTGGGGAAGGGAAAGGGTAACAGACGTAGATATTAAATAAAAGAAACAACACCGTCAACCCCCCCCCCAGTCCTGTTCTCAGTATGTTCAACATAAAAATTTTTTAAGGCCAGCTTAATTTACAAATTAGATTAAGTTGCATTGAACTTAATTAGTTTTATGTCATGCAGTTGTCTCCTCATGAGCAAGTGAAGCCCGTCTTACTGTCCTGTTTCACTTACGGAAGCCTCTCACAGAGATTAAGCATAGAAGGACCGTAGTACCAAGTTTGGAACTTTGCACATTCAGTTATTTAAGCTGTACTACTGCACACACAGAATTAAAATGGAAAAACTGAATTAAACTGAAAAACAGGGCACAAGAACAAGATGTCATCCAAAATCCATCATAAACACGGAACTGAAAAAAGAAATCAATCTCAGATTTGAATCACTCTCCTATTTTAATAGAAGAAAACAGACAGCACACTTGTAAAAGAGCTAGTGGTGCAATCCCCATCAGCTTTCACTAGCCCTACCCTCAAATCCAAAGGATCTCTACTGCATAATATGAATGGAACTGGAGGCCAGAATTATCAATATGTTGAAGTGAAGCATTGCATTATTTAATTTGGAGATGTTAATGTTTCTGTTGGATTGGATTCTGACTCCATGCTGGATGATACTGACAGTAGATTACTAACATCAGTGCTACATAAGCCATTCCATGAGGGCAAATTAGCCCAATCTTTTTTTGTGTACACCACATCAAGTCAAATTCTAATGAATATGACACTGTATTTTTTTTCTGTGAATCTTTCTGATTCACTTTACTTCATGACACAAAGCTGCTTATACCTCACCAGAGGGAAAGTTTCAGTGATGGAGTAATGGCCGCTTGCTTCTGAGACATCAGTTGAGCAAAGAAAGATACAGAAGAACTTTACAACAGTGAGGAGAGGGCCATGAGCAACAGTTGCCATCCCATCCAGAAAAAGGGAACGTCTGCTACACTGAAATGTCTAAAGGCTAAAAACTTCAAAGGGAAATACCCTTCACTGACTTAAGGGAAGTATTACATGCAGTCTGAAATGCTGGACTTGTTTTCCATGCAGGAGAAACCTATCAGGCAGGAAGGTTTAGCTTAAACAGGGCTCTGGAAAATCAGCTGGGAAAGGGTATGCTGTCATATAGCAAGCCTTCAGCATTCCCCAGTCATGGTCAAAATGCAGAAGAATGATTTGGGGAGCTAACAGTAGTCATCATCAACAGTGCATTAGAAAATAACTACAGAATTAACAGTTCTGTAGTTATTCAATAATGCAATTTCTTTAAGAACAAAAGAGAACCTGAGTTCCTTAAGGAAGAGCAAATCTCTTCATCTTAAATGATAAATGTTAAATATCAGGAGAACATACTTTGTGGAGCTTTTAAAGAGAAAAGAAGGTACTTTCTTGCTGTAAAAATGTTCGATAAAACCGAATGGACAAATATATATAAAACCAAATATGTTTATAGTGTTTCTAAAACAAATACATTTTCACATGCGATATTTTGTGCCCATAATATTGTACAGTCTCATAACATATTCCTTGGCTAACAAAAACAATTCACCACTCTGAGGTACAGTCTGTGATGGACACACAGGGAAACTGAGGCAGTGAGAGGAGTCTGCAGAGAATTTACATCTCCTGAGTATCTCCTGAGCCCTAACCTTCTGTTTTTAAGCTGAGAGCATCATTAATGTATGGGGAGAAAGAACTGAAAAGGGATTTCCAGCGGGTATGTGCCATTCTGACTGCTTACCTAGCCTGGGTGATGTTATTGTGTTAACGTTAATTTTCTCGTTGCAGGGGTGGAGATGACAGGGTCTGTAGGCTGCGGGCTTTTCCGAAGAAAAGCATTCATTACCGTGCCTCCCTGTGATCTTGTGCATGCACTGGATGACTCGGGACTGCATCCCTTTGCCACAGGTAACGGAGCACTGGAAGACACAGAAGACACATTCACTGGAAAGGTATTTTTGCCTTTGATAATCGTGAAGATGAAA